GTTAATTTTATTAGAAGCCAAGATATTTTATCAAATGAATGAATATTTTTATTGAAGAGCAGAAATACTTGCTTATATAGATTTTACAACAATAGGATTGCGTATAATTTTTATATGTTTTTTTGCTCTTATAGCTCTTAAAAGAGATATAAGACTTACCACTCCTTTAATATTTATAAGACTTTTAATACTTATAAGACTTTTAATACTTATAAAACTTTTAAGAGTTATAACTCCTATTGCTCTTTTAATACTTTTAAGAGTTATAACTTCTATCACTCTTATAAGTCTTATAGAAGCTATAATATTGATCACTCTTATAAGCATGAGATCTCTAAAAAAGTCAAGAATTGACCTAGCTATAAAATTGAACTGTGACTAGATTATATAGCTCTGGAAGAAAAGCTCAGAACCAATTCTCTCATATGACAACATATAACATAATTTACATATCAAATAACATATTATCAGTTATCAGTTATTGTTATTTGTTATACCTATTTTAACTTTTTCAGGTTATATCAGAAATGATCAGTAATTATGAGACCACAATTTATTTTGCTATGACTAACCTACTTTACGAAGTATCATTTAGAATCAGATGTGACATGATTTGTGTTTTAGAGATTTTAAGAGTTTTAGTACTATGCATGAAGCAGATCATTCTATATAAGAAATAAACTACTATGAGTATTACTAATTTAGTAAAAATTGATTGCATTTCAATGATTGTTGTATTTGAGATTTAAGAATTTTAGTTTTAGCAATTTTAGTAACTTTGTGTTTCGGAGATTTTAAAAATTTAAGTTTCAGTATCTTCAAGAATTTGCATTTTAGTAATATATATTGTTTTTTTTTTTATTGAATAATAATATCAAATAGAAGAGAGATTAGTATATTTGTATATCAGGATAATATATATGTGAAGCTAATATAAGTTTCTATAATTCATTGCTATTACTAAAGCTAAGTTAGTTATCCAATATGTTATTATACCTTTATTTTCTATTTGCAGCTAATTTAAATCTAAATTACTATTAACTATAGAAAAGGTTAAAGAAAATCTCTAGATATAGTATAGAAGGTAATTAGAAAATATAGTTATATATAGAGAAGTTTTGAAGTAAAATTTTTTAAATAAAGTTATCTATATTAAGATTATAAGTAATAGAAGTATTTGGTATGTTTGATGTTTATAGAAGATAAATAGTTTTTGAGTTTGTTTTGTTTTTTTTTGAGATTCTATGAGCAGATTCCTATTTATGATATATTAGATTTCTAGTGTTCTAAATTTTGTTCTAGAACTAGATAAGAAGGGAGTTAAAGAGTTGAATAAGAAAGTTATTTGTTAATTTTTTTAATAGAGAATTAATTTGTTCAAAGCAATTCATTAGAATGATTCTTTAAATAAGAAGTAGAAGATTTTTTATTAGGTTTTATGAGTTAGATATTTGGAGGATGAACTGTAAGATTATTTGAAGTGAAGTATTAGTTAAGTTAAGGTTATTTAGATTATCAGCAATATGAGTTAGTAATATAGTATAAAAATTAATTGAGTGAAGTGTGCATAAAAGCAAATATTCAGTATTTTTATATTAGTTGCAAAAAGAGCAATTTGAGGTGAGGTATAGATTTGGATATTGAATATTTAGATTTGCTATTACTAGTAGATTATTTAGTAATATTTTGTTTTTAAATGAATATAGTTTTGGATTATTGTTTTAGAAGTTTATTATATTGGTAAATTGGAAAATATTAAAGAGTAGAATGTTTTAGAAAGTTTTGAGTTGAGTGATTTTGTTAAAAGATTGAATTGTGAGAATGTTTATGCAGAATTTACAAATTTTGAATAATAAGAGTATGTTTTTCTGTAAGAAAAAGATAGAAAAGTAGAAGTATTTATTATTGAGTTAGATTTCTGGTTTGTTAGTACTATGTTTGACTAAAGAGTTAGCTATATTATGAAAAGAGTTTTTGGAATATGATTTGGTTTTGTAAGTAATATATTAAATTTTTTTTTTAATTAGGTAGTTGAGTATATAGATAGTGTCTCATTATTAGTTTTAGTTTGAGTAGAGTAATTATAAAGAAGGTTGTAGCTAAGTATTTGGATTATAGAGAAATTAATAAAACACAAGATTCAAAGCAATAATATTTATTTTATCTTCAATAATAAAAGTCACAAATAATATCAA